CAAATAATATTAACACTTTGTTCAATAAAAATGAAATAAATAAAGAGAAAAGAAGAGAAGAGAAGCGTTAAAAAATATAAAGAAATCAATAGAAATATAAGTTATTTAGTAAGAGGAAGATAGAGTGAAAGTTGATTATTTTTATAAGTAGTTTTTGTTTAAAAATAAATATATTATTATTATATAAGCAATTTTTTTAATCATAGTTATATAGTTTTTAAATAAATAAATATAATATTTTTCAATAAATCTACTTTAAATATAAATGATCTTATTATTATTATTATTATTATTATATTTTTTATTTTTAGCTTATTATATATATATATATATATATATATATAACATAATAGCACAATTGATTATGATAGTTATCTTATAACACATTAAGTTGCCACATATTTGAATATGATAACTCATACTACTTAGCTTGTTTCTATTGTACTAGCATAATGCATTAACTTGTTAACATTTTTGAATAAGTTCCCTGACTTGTCACGGGAGCATGGGAGCATTTCTGAATATGTTTCCCGACTTGTCATGAGAGTGAACTTATATAAACAAAATTGAGAAGCAACAAAGATTATATTTATAATTTATATTACCTATTCTCCAATTTCCTTCAAATCCTTTCATGTAGAGGGTAATTGTGCGACCATAATATCTACCCTTCATTCAACACAATTCTTTTCAAATCTCTTCCACCAAACATAATTTTTTTTTAAAATCTCCATTAATCAACTTCCTTCCTCTCAAATCCCTCTTAAATCATTTCCCAGTCACAATATTAATAAACTTGTCGAGTTCATCTCAATGTACAATCTAAAATATTTTGAGTTATCTTATAAGCTTTTAAGTTTATAAATATTTTAAATAACTAGTCTTTTAAATTTACTTTAATTATTTTTCTTTACAAATTTTATTTTTTTAATACATTTAAACAAACTTATTAATAAACTTTAACTCGATAAATTTATTTATTTTTATTCATAAAAATAATACATAATATTAAGAGGTTTACGACATTCACATGCTTATTCAACCATCTCTATTGATCCATCAGCATAATAATTTTTATTATGAAGATTTGTCATAATTTTAAGAGAGAAAAAATTGGACTCATCACTAATTTAAATTCATTATCGGGAAACTTAGTTTTGCTATCTAATCATATATTTTTATATCACGAAATAATTTGTTAAAACATTATTATAATCAAATACTCTTAATTAATCACCAATCAAATCGGAAATCTTATATTTTTAATTAAAATATCCACTTTTATACGGTTACCCTAAAAAAAATCCTCACTCATACAACAAATTTTCAATTTTATTTCACTCTCTAAATCATGAAAATTAAATCTCACTCTTCAAAAAAAAATTAAAAATCCTAAGTAGAAGTATTCTCAAACCAAATTATCAACAACAGATTTACCCTCAAATAAAAATCTTCCATAACGGCATAATAAAAAAAGAAACAAATTTACAAAGATCATACAAAATTTCATTATCAAATCCCAATCAATCCCAATTAACGAAATTACAAAGAAACAAAATAGAAAGGCACTTAAAAAAAAAAAAAAAACATAGAAAGGAGAAGAGCTTGAGAGAGAGAAAAGAAAGAAAGAAAAGTGTAAAAATAAGAAGAAAAAGAAAAACAAGAAGCAAAAAAGAAGAAGAGAAACACTATTACCAGCGATCGAGCTTAAACACACAGACCCAGCAAAGTTCATTACAAAAAAAAAAAAAAAAAAAATAAAAAAAAAAAAAAAAAAAAAAAAAGAACAAAACAAAACAAAAAACACAAGAAAAAGAAACAGAGCCATAACCGAAGTTTCGAAGATTCGAAAGCAAGTGATGTTCGAGATTTCTATGCTAATTCGCGAACTACGCTGAGGTCAGAGCAAAGTTCAATACATGAATCAATGCATAAAACCCCTTTGTTTTTTCTTCAACAAACTTCCAACCCTTAACTTTTTGCACTTCATGCTCCTTTCATTGCAATTTCAAAATTTTCACCTTTTTTTTATTATTCATTAATTTATTAATATTGGTTTTTTTTTTCTCTCTCTCTAATTTTGTTCAACTCAGTGATCTCTTTGGGACTCCCAAGTTCGTGCGGTGTAGGGAATTTCGCGAAG